TTAAAAGTCTTGCCACAGTTTATCAATTAATTAATTTCAATTAAATTCAGTTTATTTATAAGCATCAATTCATTTTACAGAGACATTTCAATCCGATCATAAAGTCAGATTGGATCAAAGTTTTCTATCTAACGAAAACCAGCTGATTGCAACTGTAATTGACTCGACAGGAATCCCTCACACTAGGCATCCATGCACGCAGGGATAGTGGAGAGGAAAAACTCCCATTTAACAGGAAGACATTTTCAGCAAAGCCAGGCTCAGTGTGAGCAACCTTTTTCGGGGTTTGTGAGGACCAAAGCAAATATTCCAAATGAACATAAGCCCCATTTACACTAGCCTCAAGAAACCGATCAGTGCCTAGATTGGATCACTTAACTGTGCCGAGCTTGGTTCCTTGCGACCGTTTACACATCATGCTAGCAGGGTTCCTTGCCGCCTAGTGACGATCCATGGTACTACCTCTCTCTAGAGGTAAACTAGCAAACCAACATGGCAGTGCCATTAACATTCAGGAAGTTTGTGGAGAGTCAGGCAAAGAAGGAAGCCTTTGGTGAATTTAATTGACAGTCGGCTTTTGGGAAGTGGATACAACAAAAAATTGTCAAATCAGAGCTTACACACACAGGAAACAACGAAAGTAGTTGAGGTTCATCACACTGCTAAGCAGAATCATCACTGGAAATCATGTTGCACAATAGGGAAGCTCATATTTATATGAATGTCTGAAATTTCCTGATTACAGAGGCTAACTGAAACGACATGATGTGGTCTGCTCATGCACTCTTTGTTATCTGACAACCGTTCCAGAACTGAACCACTCCGAGCCCTACTGATGAACTAGTACCATTTTTGTGCAGTATGGTTTTGTCTGATGCGGTCCATTTCAGATTTGCGTGCCGTTAAAACTCAACAGTATCTCGGTTACTGTGCCTAAATCGGTGTTCAGACCGATCTAGGCACAGTTTCAAAAGGGTAGTGTAAATGGGGCTTGGAAGCCCTGACCCCTGTCAGGATGAGGTTAAGGTTTGTGGACCCAAATGCAGAGGCAGGGAGGCAGCGGTGCCGGTGAGTTACTTGTTGATTTCATGAAGGCTTAACAGAACACTGAGGCAGGAATCCAAAAATCAAACATGAAAACAAAGACAAACAAACCAGAAACCAAAGAGACATCTGGGGAAAACAATCACAAGGAGGTAGACTCAGTGAGACAGAGTTGGAGGAAGTTAAACGAGGTACCAGCACTGAGAAACTGCATAAGGAGTGTATTTATGGAAGACTGAAACAAAGAGAGGACTAACGAGCAGATTAGGAGCAGGTGTGAACAGAGCAGACAGGAAATGAGCCCGGGAAAAGGAGAACCCAAGAGGGCAGCAGAGGGCAACAAATAAAAACTTGAAAACTGAAAAATAACCAGAGAACACAACAAAATAAGAATTAAACCACTAAAACTAGAAAACATAGAGCAAAGTAAAACTGAATATTCAAAAGAAAACATAACAGAACCAGAACTGTGACAACCCCTAAATGCTTTCTGTGTTAGAAAAGGTAATAGTTAACTAGCTCTATAGGTGGCTCTTTCTGGAAAGAAAGAGTTAAGCAGACGAGCTCTGAACACATTTTCATGTCAAAGTGATAAAAGCGAGCACATACAGTTTGTTACAGTAAACTCTGAGTCCATAGCTACAGTATAGGAGAGTGACAGGAATAAGCACTGAAAAAAACAGGCCCATCTCTATCGTGTATAATCTAAGGTGTTGATGGCAACACCCCAGCTTATATTTCTTTCCAGGTTTATGTCACAACCAAACAGAAACAGACCAAATTAAGCTGCTAATACAGGAGTGTAGAATGGGTGAAAAAAGACAGAATAGAACACAATGAGAAAAAGTTATCCCTATATCCTCCAGCAGTCTAAGCCTATAGCAGCATAACTATAGAGATAGCTCAGGATAACCAGAGCCACTCTAACTATAAGCTTTATCAAAAACGAAAGTTTTAAGCTTAGCCTTAAAAGTAGACAGGGTGTCTGCCGCACAGACTAAAACTGGTAGATGGTTCCAAAGGAGAGGAACCTGATAACCAAAAGATCTGCCTCCCATTCTAACCACTAGAACCACTAGAAACCACTAGTGAACCTTCTAACTGAGAGCGAAGTGCTTTGTTGAGAACATAAGGAACAAACAGATCTCTGATATAAGACAGAGTTTGGTTAATCAGGGCTCTATATGTCAGAAGGAGGATTTAAACCTCGCCTTTGGCAATTCTAACACATGCTCAATCTGAACTGCTACTTTTGACATCAGACTGTATGTTTGAAGTTGTTGTTCTGCTGCCAGGTAAACATCCAGCCTTGTTGTTGCTCCATCTGTTTTCCCATAAACTCCAACCAGGGAAGTAGGTTGGAAGCTTGTTGGCTAGGACTGATTTCAGAACTCACTTAAGCTCTTAAGCAGCAACAAGTCTCAGAAATGTAGAGAATTAGTACAGTACATACTAGGTGATCCAAATGGATAGGCTGGATACCCTGAATCTGTACTTTTCTATTGTCCTTTACCAGTTTCCCGTGCTCTATTTTCTCTCTGTCTCTTTGACTTCGACATAATGTTCCCTATCTTCACTCATTTCTACAGCAGTTGCACTTTTCACTGGCCTCCTTCACCAGTGACCCTCCTGGGTTTTCCATAATTTCTCTTCCTCAGCTCACTTCTCATCACTTACTTGTTTGCCAAACAATCTAGAAATGTGTCTACTTTGATTTTAGTTTTCATTTGGATTTACAATGTGCAAGCATCATAATTAGGAAAAAAATATAGCGTACTTATTACGGCAGTCTATCGAAACACGAAATCGGAAATCATTCATCACATTCACACACAGGTCACATAAGCAGCTCTATTCAGAAATCCTCCTAAGAAAACAGCAAATGTATTATTTTCTGTATGATATATACATATATAAATATGATATAAACATATATATTATAGTATGTATTATATACATATATTTCTGGTAAATTAATGTATAATTTGAAGGCTTTAATGGAGCTTTTGGAAAAACACATTATTGGTTATTTCATATGTTTTAATGACTTAAAACTTGAGGGATAGCAGCAGAGCAAGACTGCAGCAAAGGTGCTAGTCGCCCTCCCACCCCATAAAGCTGCCCCCTGGATTTATACTAAAATTAATTTACACTCAAATTGACTCTACTTACTAAGTAGGTTACATCTGAAGAAAGTTACACTTTTTTTTTTTCCATCTTAAGGTAGCTGAGCAATTAGGTGAAATATAAATACATGACACAATTTCAAGATTTTTGAGAAAACATAAAAACGTGCCTCACTTTCCTTCCACTTCAGGTAGAAAGTATGAGTCAGGTCATGTTAGACAAATAAATAACTAGAGCACAAAATACAAAAAAAAACTTTTAACTTAATTTATGAAGCTAAACTACACAGCAGAAGATAAAAAAACCCAAAACCCCATATAGCTAAAAAATCAAACACAGTAAATAATAAAAATATTCAAATTGAAAAATAAAGGGAAGAAAAAAGGCCACTGAATGTCCTGAATTTATCTTTCATTATTTGATCACATTCCTACCAGTGACACCAAAGTTTTTGTCTTTAATACAAAGTTCTTTATTTATTAGTTCATTTCCTGTTTTTTTTCTGTGTTTAGATAGTATCAATAAAGTTAGACCAATTATAAAAAAGTAAAGAAAAGCAAATTAGTTGGTGTCTGTTTTGAGATTATTTATCTAAACAGTTAAGCTGACTTTGGAATCTGCTGATCACCTCTTCAGGCTATATGTGGGATTGTTGTCTGGGATACAAAACACCACAAGAGAAGCTAATAAAATACCAAAAGTTGGGTAACAGAAAGCCAGAACACAGCAACCAAATACTTCTCACCACTCTGCATCCAAAACAGTTTAGACTAGAAAAAACATTTGCAAGTACACATTTGATGTGATAAACTGCACAGAGTTCCAGACGTGCTTCAGCTAATTTTAGCCTTTTGAAGGTGGTTTATCAAATCTGAGGGTGGGCAGTTATGTTAACCTCAACTCTGTGATTGATGGAATGATGGGCCCCTAAGATAATGTTCTATTGAACGTTATTTGCATGTGATGAGGTTATTGCTTTGCAAAAGTGTTTACATCCATTGAAACTTATTTCCTCATTACACCACATTATTACCACATTAGTCAGCGTATCTAATTAGAATTTTATTTGACCGACCCACACAAAGTCGCAAATGGAAAATGCTTTTTAATATTTTCTGAAAATAAAGACCAAGAACTGTTGAGGGCATTTGTATTTAAACTAAACTTCCTCAACCCAATATTATAAATTAAAAAGTTGCAAGTCAAACAACTAAGGAAACTTGCAGTCTGCGTAAAAATAAGAGCAAAGCAGCCATGGTAAGTCTGGAGAAGATGCAGGTATCTGCATTTTAGGAGGGAAATTCTTTGTCTTCTCTTTGTGTGGGTCTCTTTAAATCTGAAATGAATAAATTGTACCAGTATTGTGACCAATAAAGGACATTTGAAAGGGTTTTAACAGCTTTGCAAGGAGCTGATATTTTTAAATGTGTACATAATGATTTTTTAACTTAAGTTTAACATGATTCTCTCTGTTGATTCACAAAAATGCAAGAGAGAACTGTTAAAACTTTTACTATTGGGGAAGGTTATTTCATTAACTGGGAATCAGTAGTTTAGTTTATTTCCCCCCATCTGTCTGGTATGCAAAACCTCTCATTCTAGATCTCTAAGGAACAGGGAAAACAATTTAATGCACAGTTTATAAACTGAGGTTATTTTTGCTTCTGCAAACAGAAATAGCTTTGATGGATATACAACATGCTGGACAGCAACGAAAAGTGAAGAGTGGAGTTAGAAGGAGTGAGAAAGAGAAACTTAGCTTTAAAAAAGGAAAGAGATGAAGAGGAAAGAGTAATTGCCGAAGGACGCTCCTCGTCTCCCTTTCTAAGAGCATTAACTCTGGAGTATTCTGGTGGTGACGGGAGTGTCAGGGTCAGATGGCGGCTCAGCCTGATTAGACCAGCTCACAGCAGATCCTCAGCCCAGTACACACACTGCACTCCTGCAGCAGAGGGGAGAACTGGCACATGCAGTACGTTGCAGTGATTACAGAGCAGGCTTGAAAAAGGACAGCAAAAAAAAAAGGAAGAGTTTAGTGTTGTAGAGGGTCAGCTACAGGTGGCTGCAGAAATTTTTTCTCTCTGCTTCTGGATGTCTTGGTTGTTTGTCATGGAAAAGTTCTAACTGCAAGGAGATTGAAAGCCAGGAGAACTGAAATAATTCAGTGATCGGAGGGGACACTGAGGACCTAAGTGGTAAGGGTAAACCCCTATAAGTCTTACTGCTGCTGATGTGCCCTGATATTTTCAAATGACCAGAAGTTCAAAAAATAATTCAAAAGTTTTGCTGTGGAGAATTGATAAGAAACTATTGAATATGTTGGTGCTTCAGGGGATTCATTATCAAAATAATCATTTAGTTTCTCAGGAAGTTGGTGGGAGGAGGACTAATGATTGTACAGTACAGCCCCAGTACAAGTTGTAACCCCAAAAATGTGATGTGTCACACCACTAGTAGCCACTGGTATAGATAGGGCTATAAATACAGCTGTTTGCGCAGGTTTACTATAACAGGCAGTCAGCTGATTATAATGTCAGCTCTCTAACTTTTGTGTGTCTGCTGCTGTTGCTTAGGACTTGGTATTCTCTGTCTCTCTTTTGGATTTTCATGTTTAGAAGCCAGCAAAGGTAGGACAGGAACCCCTTCCCTTATTCTACCACTGTGCTTCTGCAGGTGTTTTAATGGAAAGTTAGCAGAATTAATGGGGTGTTGGGATTTATTTGGTCTGTGAGGGTTACTATCACAGCAGGCCTTTCCAGGTTACCATGGTTTATTTATCACTGAATCAGAGGCACTTCAGGGGCCTCATAACCCTCTTTAATGGCTTGAAATAGACAAAAAGACTTAACTCCATGATGGGAGTTTTTTTTTTGTTCTTTACAAAAAGCATAGCAATCAAACTTTAAACTGGCTTTACTGATAAGTAAAAAGGAACCTCTACCCTGATTATAAAAAAGCACCGGATAAATGACTAATTATAGATTGTCAACAGGCTCCTAGTAGAGTGACTCTGATGGTGTTAGAGATGACCGCACATTACCTCTGGGCTTTCACTGCTTGTTTTTCTAAGCATTTCAGAATAGAGCAGAGGGTTACTTCTTAGACTGCAGATTAATGAGGTTACCTCTGTGGACAAGCTCCAAGAGGAGGTTCTGTCCAACAGATTTTGGGTCTACTGTATGTCGAACAACTGATACCTTAAATTATTTTTACTTTTCTGTGTGCATTAAAGCAACTACAAAACACCCTCAAATTTTATTGAGACATGAGAACAACAACAACATTTAATACCAGGTAACAGTCAATAAAATCTATTCAACAAAAGAGCTAATAAACAAACTCAACAATCCATACATGTATATATTTACTTTAATGCATAAATGGAGTAATTGTTAATGTCGTTTCATTTGTGGATGAATTTATAACCACTATATTTTAGAAAAAGCTGCAAAACATTTATCTTTTCTTATAGTACTTTTAGTTGAATGATCGGACATCAAACGGAATTCAGAAATCAGTGCATCTCTGCCAGTGACACATTCTGTCTTCCCCTTGAGATTTGTTTGAAGATGTGTTTATTGAAAGAACATTTCAGTAAACATAAAATGATACATCACATGTAAATCTGTAAGCAAAGTGGAGGGTACTTGGGTTAGATAAAGAAATTATGAATTCTGGATAAACCAAAAAAAAATCTACATTGTCAATTTGAGGTAAAAAGATTGTGAAATAGTATTTTCAAGTAAAATTAAATATTTGTTTTAAAGAGCCCAGGTTTTAAAAGTTTTTGAAATTCAAAACAACTTAGTTATCCTGCCGTCACTTATCAGAGGAAAAATTAGAGAAAAATATCAATTTATTTTCTCTTAGTCTGAAAAGATGATAGCCTTTTTTACGGTGTTTTAACCAGATCATTCATAACACAGATCTTCTATGGCATTTCTATGGCAAAATCAAAGACAACTGGTTTGAGTGAGCTATTTATGGCAAGAAAGATAATAAAAAACAAAAACAAATGGCCAATGGTACGGTCTAGAGGCTGTTAATACTTATTGAGACATTCTGAACCACAAAATTAAACTAAGAGATTGCCCTACTACAAAGCCCTGGGGAACACCTTCTGTGATACGAAAACCCACTACTGTCTGAAAACTAACCAAAAGCCTGTTTTAAAAGATATGATTTGAATGACAAATTCTGACTGATATAATTAATGCACACCATAAAAACAGTTTGGTGTAATATTGGGTTTTATGGGACATCTTTCACCACATGCAGGTACTGTCATTGCATGACTCTGGTTCAGCCATGGCACTTGTAGCAGTGCACAAAAAAAACACTGAAAGTTTATGGGTTGGGGTTTAAAGATACTGGCCTTTAAGGGTCTTTAAAACATCACTGACAAAATGTTACATTTAAAAAAAATGAAAACATGAGGCCATTAGAGTATGTTTTTGCAATTTTTGCAGGACAATTCCCTCTTAGATTAAACTGACAGAATGTAGCAGAAATCTCCTCATTTAGTCCTTTTCTAAATGAGCTGTTTTGGCTTTCCACGCCTCTGCCACTCAAAAAGGCCATGCCCCCACCACCCAAAACCATGACAACCAGTCAGAGTTTGTAAAGATAGCATCTAGGAGCCAAGAAGAATACATAAGATCAAGGCTGTAGATGAGCTGCTACAGACAGCTCTGGACAGCTTATATCCCCTTATGATATCATAAGGGGAATGCTTTTCGAACATAGCATTTTGAGCACACATTAGCTTAGAGGTGGAAAAAGGTAATGATAGAGGTGAAACCTCATACACAGGCTTCAGGACACAAATGACTGTTACAAAAAGTTTATAAAGTGAATTTTGCATAATAAAGGTCCCATATTATTTTTAAGACTTCAGAAAACCTAAAATTCATGTTTTTGGAATGTGGCGGGAAGCCAGAATACCTGGAGAGAATCCATGCATATACAGGGAATACTTAAAAGCTCCATGCATCCCTCGGGCTCAAACCCAGGGGCTTTGGCAGCAGTGCTGTCAACTACTATCATGCAGACCTGCAAAGCTAAATGTTTTTTGAAAGCATGAGTAGTTTTAGAGTACTGACCTTGACTGAACTTAATCATTTGATCCCTAATTTGTAAATTTACTTTAGATACATTTAGATAAAATTAAGGAAATATCATGAGATATAGAGGGGCTGCACCTCCATCCATCCTTCCATCCATCTTCTAACATGCTTAATCCCAAGTGGGGTCGCGAGGGGTGCTGGTGCCTATCTCCAGCAGTCTACGGGCGAGAGGCGGGGTACACCCTGGACAGGTCACCAGTTCATCGCAGGGCAACACAGAAACAGGACAAACAACCATTCACCACACACTCATACATAAGGAGAATTTAGAGAAGCCAATTAACCTAACAGAGGCTGCACCTATTATATTAAAAATATTGATGTATATTTTTTTAAACATGCAAAACACTAATGAGGATGGATACTTTTCAAAGAACACTAAAACTAATATGTTAACACACAGTAGGGGTGTCTGTTTCGTACTTTCATTTATTTTATTGGTTGTGAATCCTGTTATGATCTGGTTAGCATATTATCAGAACCTTTCACAAAAAGAGATGTGAAAAATTGTTTAGTAATGGTTTTTTGGAGTCCTGGTGATCAGAAGATCATCTTTTTCCAGTTCTCTGTCAGTGGGCTTTAAGGATTTCAAGACTTACTATCCTGAACTTGTGTCTGTTTGCAAGATAAATATTGATAATCATGAAGCTTTATTTGTCGAGGAAAAGCTCATTTATTTATGTTGCACATTTCAGTGGCAAGGCAATTCAAAGTGCTGTACTTTGAGGGAGAAGCAAAAGAAAATACATTGCTGTGCCATAGCAGGGACATATAAAACTAGAAAAATAGTAAATAATTTAAATAAGAATAAAAGATAAAACGGTTGGTCAAAAAGCTACAAATATTTGATTTAAAAAAAGAAATGATTTTTTTTATCTTTGGAATGAAAGTTGGTGTGGAAACTTCACTAATGATACTTAGATATTTTACAGTAAAAGGCAACTCTTATAGCAATGCATTATTGATCTTGATTTAAAGCAACTGAGGGTCGCAGCGTTTTCACAGTTTTCTGGAAGCTGATTGCTGATGAGTGGAGTATAACAACTGAATGCTGCCTCTCCTTGTTTGGTTCTGCTTGTGGGAATCCAGAAAAGTTTTGAGACAGAAAACCTGAGAGAACAAGGGGGTTTATACACTGACAAGAAGGCTGTGATATACAATGGTGCTAAGCCATTCAGTCATTTATATAAAAACAGTTGCATCTTAAAGTTGGTTCTTTGAGATACAGGGTTGATTATGGACCTGTCTGTTGCCCTGGACCTCTTTTATTTTATTTTATTTTTTTAACATAACTAGAACTTGTCAAAGTTCAAGTTGTGGTTAGGCATTTTTTTATTGTAGCTCTGAAACTAGATCAAATAAATACCTCAAGAATGATCAAATAATGCAGACAATCCATTTCAAAGAGCAAAGATTTTTTTTATTTTTATTAAATGTATCATTAATTACATTTATTAATGTAAATAATTTTGGAGGGCTCTGCATGACGTTTCTTATTTCTTTTGCTGTAAGTTTTGGGACTAATTAATATTTTTTGTAAAGCTTAATTTTAAATTATACTTTATTAAAGATTTTTTTTATTAAAGATATTAAAGGTTTGGTAATCCCTTGTATTTTCTGTTGTAGAATCATCAGTTGATGGAGTTTGTGCGGCAGAGTGGGGACTACTGCCACGCTCAACACATTTAGACCGTGTCTGGGATGAGGCTGTGCCATGCAGTCTTGGGGCCATGAATCCTAAAGGAGCACTATCATTTCTTTGCCTTATCAACCTGCCAGCTCATGGGGTAACAAGAGGATTCCCAACACTGAAAGCTGAACGGAGAGAAAAGGAAAGGAAGACCATCTGAGAGACACAAAGAAAAGAAAGAATCAGACAGTTACAAACATAAAAAGCAAGACTGACACAGTCTAGCCTCCTGGACTATACTGTAGGACACCCTGAACAGATGGGTTAACAATCTGGACGTTACACTCTCAGAACTGGGAATAGACAACAAGTCATTTAAAGCAGACAGTGGGTCCATAATCTGTTGAAGATTTCACACACACAACTACTAACTTCTACAACTGGAGCTAAAGGTGAGGCTTGTCTGGTCACATGATCCGTACAAAATGTTCTGATGCATCATCATTTGAACTTAGTAGCTACTGGGTGTTTGAGTATCTATCGGAGAGTGTCAACATGGTTCTGGAGAAGCTGTTTTTTGTTCACAAAAGTTCAGTTTTTTCAGAATTTCTGAGGTTAAATATCAACAATTTGATTTGAGTATAAAACCACTGATTTATTTCTACTGTTTTTTTTTTTATTTATTTATATGGATGCTCCCTTTATGCTCACACCAACTTAAGTTAAGCGGCAATTTTAAATAGTGTTGCATCAATGCCATTTTTTGGCCCCGATACCAATACCTAGCTATGCAGTATTTGCGATACCGATACCATCTGTTTGAAATCTATGTGTGTGTGTATATATGAAGAACTGTATACTACTTGGATGTAAAATCATTGCCATCATGGCTTTGTCAAGCTGCTGCCTACCTTTGTGAAGAAGGAAAAAGACTAATACAAAGTGAATCCAGTAGAAGTTTTTATTGCCTCCCTGGAATGGATGACAACAGTTGAATAAACTTTTGGCTCTCACAATAGTACCGGTGCCCTATTAGTTGGTACTCACTGATACCGATACCACTATTTTAATGCAGTATCGGGGACCTGGTCGATAATGGTATTGGTATCGGTGCAACACACAGATGTATACTTTCAAGTCATAACTTGAGTCATATCACTAATCTAAAGAAAATGTTTTAAAGGAATAAAAACTCCCTTTATTCTCCCACAATGGAGAAATTGTTGTGTTACAGCAGCAAAAGATTATAACAAAAGTGGTCACACAAATGTGGACCTTAAATAGTGTATAAAAATTACAGAATAAGTTAGAGTAAATAAAAAACAAAAAAAACAAAAAAAAAACAAAACACTGATCTCTGTACAGTGTTTTTGCAATATAAAAACTGTGGATAAATATTGACCAAATGATGATGAGACTAAAAAATTTACCTATGCATAGTGTTGTTATGCTAATTAATTATTATTATTGCTTAATTGTCAAAACAAATGTAGGAATCAGACATCAATTAGTCTAAAGTATGATGATCAGGAGAAAAATATTAAAGTAACCAACTGGGATTCGCTACAGGTATTGTTTACTCTATTACATCCAGCATTACAGTGAATATTATTTGAACTACGTATTATGTATTGTTATTATTAAGAAGACAGTTCATTATATGCAGTAAATAGTATCACTTTCCTTCCAACTTAAACAAGTTAATTTATCATTTGGAATTAGACTTTTAAAATTCAATCATTTGCTAAATTTACCTAATTAGCTTAGCAAAAAACGGTAGCATATTCTCCTTTCTCTACTCTAAACACCTTAGAAACATTTTATATCATTTTGGCTTCATTGTAAAAAAAATGCATGAATGAACACATAGTTTAAGGAAATAAAAGTTTTGAGCAGCTTATTAGCACAACTTTTCTTGGTTTACTTCAAAGTTCTTGTTAGGAGAAACTAATGAGGCATATTCTCTACAGCTGTCTTATGAAAATAACAGAAAAAAGAATAATTCACTATAGATGATGCCTAGTTTGGAATTTTGAAAGATAGATTTAATAAAATGTGAGCCCTTTTCTTCTTTTAAATCAGTCCCATAGAAAACATGAAAGGCCATTCACTTTGAGCGTTCACTAACACATTCCTGTTTCGTTACAAAGGTCAGAGGTCCTGCTGCGCAGTCAGAGGTTAAACAAGCCACCATGAACCGTCCTGCTCCGGTGGAACTGTGCCACAAGAACATGAGATTCCTGATCACACATAACCCCACAGATGGTACACTCAACTCCTTCATAGAGGTGGGTGTCTGCAGTACTCTGAACGCTGTGAGGATTCTCCTAAAATGGTAATTAACATGTCTTTCTGGACACAGCTCATACTGGCTTCAACAAACTATCATTAAATCTTAATTTTCATGATAGTTTAACAGATTCCTCATGACTCCAACTCCTCCTGATAATCCTGTCAAATAAAATAAATACTTAAATATCACCTGTCAGATACCATGAAGTAAAAAGAAAAAAAAAACGGCAACACATTGTTTTCTGATGTACAGAGGAGTAACAAGGTCATTGGCAGCATCCTGTCTGTAAATGAGTATAAAACTATTTCTAAGGCTTTGAGACGCGGCAAACTATGTTGAGAGTTTTGGCCAAACCATTCCCATTTCAAACAAGTGGACCTGGTCGTCCATTTCTATTTGCATGTTCTCTTATCAAAAACAAGGCTTTGTTGGGCTACTGTATAAAGCCTCGAACTCTACGCTATTTCTGACATTTTGAATTGAAAAAGGTTCCTGGATGGGAAGCAAAACATCTTCAAACATGGAAACAAAGTCCAGCAGAGTGTTGTTTTTTTTTACTTTTTTTTGGAACGACTACAATCTGGAAGACTGAGAATCTTCACCAGCACATTGTTTTTTAACTTTATAATAAGATTCCACATCCACTGATGGAGAACACATAAGACAGTGGAGAAACTTTCCAGGAGCTTGCCTGCCAACACTATTCCAGAAGGAATGCAATGACAATTCATCTACAATGTCACAACAAAACCCAGAATAACATCGGAAGACATTACTTGCCTCTGTGAAGTTCAGTGTCATGATTCAACAATAAGAAAGAGAATGAGCTGAAACGACTCCGATCAGAGACTCCTGAGGAGAGAAAAAATAAAAAACTATCCTAAAGACTTTTGAGTAACTATTTAGCAATGTTCACTGTAGAAGGTGTGTGTCCTTTTACATCTGTCATGAAACTCACACAACAATTCAGAAAAATAAATTAACAGCCCAACAAGGTGGTTGTAGATCATGTGCTGTTTTACTGCTTCACACACAATTAATTTCTATATCAGATAGAAACATTAATCGTGCTCTATAGTCTACTATAAATATCTGAGAAATAATACCTAGCCATCAGTTTGACACACATGACTCAAGTCCACTTGAGTTATGTAGAGGGATAATAGCTCTAGATGCTCATCTTGAGGTTTTGCAGTAACCTGGTAAGTGTCTGCACTTAACTGTTTAAAAAAAGGAAGTTTGATGTAACACAGTCATGAAAATCCCCCCCAAAAACATTACAGTCTGCAGAGGACCAACAACCAATTTTCCTTCACAGTAATCTAAATGACTCTTCAGCAGTTACTGAAAAAATTTGATCACAGTTTATCCAACCAGTGGCAATGCAAACAGGTCATTTTTTTGTCATTATTAAAATTAGCTGGAAATCAAATGGAAATAACTCAAAGATACATTTTATTATTTGATTCAGTTGTTTAAACCTTCTTTTTTTCCCATGTTGCTCCTCTCAGGTCTTAAAACGTTACGGAGTCACAACTGTGGTGCGTGTTTGCGACAGCACCTATGACAAAACACCACTTGAGAAAGATGGCATCACTGTGGTGGTACAGACATAACTTTCACATTTCCATGCACACTTTATTTATTTGTGTTGTAGAAACACAAAGATCCTGAGAGTGCACTCTCTTTTAGGATTGGCCCTTCGATGATGGAGCCCCGCCTCCAACCAAGCTGGTTGATGACTGGCTTGCTTTGTTGAAGAAGAAGTTTCAGGAGGATCCAGGAAGCTGTGTGGCAGTTCACTGTGTAGCTGGATTGGGAAGGTACCAGAAAAAAGATTATAACTAGTAAAAAAAAAAAATAAATAAAAACTTTAAAATATTAATTGGCACAATCTATAAACTGATTACCTGTATTTACATTTACATTCAGGGCTCCTGTGCTCGTGGCTCTAGCTCTGATTGAAAGCGGCATGAAGTATGAGGATGCCATTCAGCTCATCCGACAGTAGGTTTTACATTGTGTGTACTATTTAAAGAACAGAACCTATACTCCAACTGGATTTAAGCTATTTACAGTAGTAGCCATTCAAAATTCCCTCACTTTCCTTGATGGATCCTTGGCTGGTTCCCTACAATTCTTTTTTAAACATCAATATTTGTACCAAAATATTCTTTCTGTCATGATTTGTGGACATTAAGGTCTAAAGAGAAGCTCCATCTCCTGGTCAGACCCTGTAATTCAATGAAAGGGTGGAGTCAGAGTAAAAAAAATATGCACACCCAGGAGACGGAGGGGGTGACTCCAGTGGCTGGGAGTTGGAGGGGATTCTGCTGGGAGTTGCAGGGAAGTGGGTCTGGCATTTGACTGGGAAGGCCATTTTGAATGGCTGCTGGTGTATGCTTATACTTCCATGTAAATCTTTATACTAAATAGCAAATTACTATTAAACATATTCTGTTGTTTCAACTTTTATGAAAGCCAACATTGTTTGCTTAATCTTTTCAGGAAGCGTCGAGGAGCCATCAACAGTAAACAGCTGACTTATTTGGAGAAATATCGATCGAAACAGAGACTTCGTTACAAAGACCCTCACACGCACAAGAACAAGTGTTGCATAATGTGAAAAAAACTAACTTATACACTTATAGGCTCTCCAAAATAAACAACACTGTAAGGTTGCTTGTACCCCTCAAAGAACGTCTCAGGAATCCAGTTGTACAGGCCTTACAGAGACTGCCCCATCTTGGAAATATTGTTATTATAGTGATATTTTGAATTGTCTGTATTGATGCTTCATCTTGGGGGTTAAAAGGAATAAAGGGGGAGAGGATGGCTAATATAGAAATAAATGTAAAAAAAAAATCATTTATTTCAGTATATCAGAGCTATTTGTATTTGTAGATAATGCTTATGAAGATATGGAGTTTGCTGATAGGTAATGCATTAAGGCACATCATACAGCTTTAATTATTTTCTTCTGTGATGCTTATAAAAAGTTAGAGGAGGATTTTATCATATTCTTTTATATTTTTTCTGTTTGACTACTGACTGCTGCTCAACACCTAAAACCTCCCAATTGTTAATCATCAATGCAAACAAGGTAAGGAGAGCATTCAGTAGTTTAGTCATTTGGAGAGACTCCGAGACAAACCTTATATTATCTACTCAGAGACTAATTTTGTTATTAAATAGATGTTGTATTGGATCTCTCACATTTCCTTAAACATATTTGGACTGTGTTTACATCACTTGTGTTTTTCCTGAATTATGCATGTGCTACACTTTAAACAAAACGGTTTTCATTTCATTTTACTGCATGCACTTTTTATATGTGAAACAAATTAGAGAAGGAAATGCAAGGATTTAAAAGCCGATTATGTCACAGCTTTTCCGTTGATATGTCTGCACATTTTGGATTTTGTGCCTCAGTGTTTAGATAATGCAGATTTTCAGGGCTGGCCTAAGCTAAAATCTTAATTTAATGAAAAAAATAATAAATATCCAAAACACTGTAAATGTCAGAATGCATTATGTACATTTTATGCATATTTTAATAAAGATTTTGCCAACATCTCTCTGATTTATTACTGATCGTTCCTTTCCTCTGTTACTTTTACACCATTAACTGGAAAACATTGCTTTTATGATATTCAAAATGCATATCAAGATTTTATTCTTTAGAATGGTTGGCTGTATCTGTCAATGACTAATCAAAGATTAACCCTGATTTATGAGTTCAGCTTTAACTTGAAGGACTCCTATACTGTTTGACTTTCTTATTTAAACCACCAAAATCAATTGATTCAGGTTCAACGAAAGTTCGCTACGTTCACACCAGACGCAGCAAAAGCAGCAAAATCGCGTCTGCTGCTTCATTTTTGCTGCTCGTACCAGTTAGTTCTGACGCGCCGTCTGACGCGCGTTGGGCGGAGCTTCACTATCCTTTCTCTGCCTTGCAGCTATATTTGCTGTGATC